CATGTCGCCTTGCTCCACCCCTGTTTTATTGCTTTCTCTGCTTTCGCCCGGTTCCCGTCCCGTTTCGGCGGGGAGTCTATGTTGCAAGCTAGTTCTTGCTTTACCAGACTTTAAGCCCACACAAGCAACTCCACTGCCGCCCGCGCCCCGCCCCATCTGGCCGCTTGCGCGCCCCATCCCCCCTCGATGGGGCCCGCCCACACCGGGGCCTCCCCCCTCCCGCCCACTGCTTTCTCAACGGCCCCGAGCCGGGGCTGCCCTCATTGCATACATAGTGCGCCTTTCCCTGCTTTTCTAGTGACCTAGCGTTCCGCACTGCCGTTTGGCCAGCCCATGCTCCCGTACCGTTGCGTTTCTCCCCAATGCGCCATGCCACTTTGCCAGTCATACACACGTTTCGATGCGTGCCCTGTCAGCTGCTTGCGTTGCATGTCGCCTTGCTCCACCCCTGTTTTATTGCTTTCTCTGCTTTCGCCCGGTTCCCGTCCCGTTTCGGCGGGGAGTCTATGTTGCAAGCTAGTTCTTGCTTTACCAGACTTTAAGCCCACACAAGCAAGCAAGTGTAGGGCCTTGGCCTGAAGGGTAGCGGCGTAGTCTTCAGGTACGTTGGTCGTTGCCATCGTCATTGCATGTGCCTGTTCTAGCCGCCCAGCCCAGTCTGTGGCAGTGCGCGCGAAACATGATATGCCCCGGTGCGCAGCTGCCTCAAAGGCGTCCCTGTAGCCCGTCAACTCAGCTATGCTCATTGGCTGCTGGAACACCGTTCTGCTGCGGAACGGGACATGTGTCTGCGGGGGTGGGCGTACGTATCCCAGGGCAGAGCACGGTAGGCGCACTTCGTACGGCTCGTGGTCGCTGTTTCCCCCTGCTGCCGGGATTTGCCACGGTGCTGGGGCCCATTTTGTTACCTCATCGGGCAGAGTGGGCAAGCAAATGAGTACGTCATCGATTGTGCTACGCACTGCCTGTCCACCCACGACATGCTGGCAGTAGGTGGGCTCTCTGGGTTCGGTAGGGTCGGCGGGGATGCCGCCTGCTGGTGCCAATTGGCAGGTGGCCGCCAATTCTCTGTGTGCCGTGTCCACATGGTGTTGGCTACCAGTTGACCTGTCAGCATTCCGCAGGGTGGCGTTCCAATCGCCGGCCAGCACTAGCGTGCGGCCTTGTTGTGCACACGCCCTGCTGATTTCCAAGATGTAGGTCCCAGCTGCCCGGCGCGTGTGTTGCTCGTCGGCATCGCTGGGGAGGTAGACCCCAATAATGTCAAGCGGCCTGCCTGCCGGCGGCGTCAGCCTCACATGGCCGAGGTACCCTTGCAGTTGCGCCGGGACTGTCTGCGGTGTCAAGCTGTTGTGTGTCGTGTGCCTCTTGGCCATTGCCACCAGGACGCCTGCCTTGCCGCGGCCGGGCTGGCCCGCGTGGCTGAGCAGGCTACCACCAGGCAATACGCTCATGGTAATTTTGTATCCACGGTGCAACAGCTTGCGGTACACGTTTTTACGCTGTTGTCTGCTGTTGATTTTGAGCTCGGTCAGCACGAGCGCATCTGGATCGCGTTGCACCAGTGCCTCTATCGCCCCTTCCGCGGTGGTGCCGCCCATGCAGTTTAAGGTGGCCACCTTAAATTCTCCCACCGGCCCTGGTGCCGGTGCGCAGGCCTCGGGGTCCAGCCCGGGTGGTGCTGCCTGTGTTGCGCTCTCGCTGGCACTGAGTGGGGCAGCTACACCAGGGTCGGCTAGTTCTGCCATGAGTGTCTCGCCTGTCGTGGCAGCCTGTCGTGTTTTGCCTCGGTTGGGCAGGGATGCACGGGACAGCCGCGCCTGGCGTTGGTGGTGGGCAAGCAGTGGCAGGCCCGCTTGTGCCCGTTGGGCTGCCTTGCCCATCGCTTCCTGGATACTGGTCTGCCGTGTTCCTCGGTCGCTTTGCTGGTGCATGGCTGTGTGTGTGCATCGCTGCCCGGGCGACCCGCTAGGGCTGGGTGGCGTCTCCCCCTTCTTTTTGCGCATCCGGCTGGTGTCTTGTTGAGTGCTCTTCTTTGCGATTTTCCTCCTGCCCTCGCTGGCGTCAATGCACTTGCGCTTGAGACTCTTGCCGGTGGGCGGCGCAGGGCTCTGTTGGGATCCAGTTCCCCTGTCAATGTCGATGGCCTGGGCTGCCGCCACGCTCAGCCGTGTCTGATGCCGCTGGGCGAGGCGTGGTGGTGGTCCATCACCCATGGTGCCGATGGGCTGAGCTGCCTTGCCTGGCGGTGGTGGAAAGGGTGTTGGGCTTGGTTTCGGGCCCGGGCCGCCGCTTGCCCCTTGGCGGCCACGCCTGGCCATGGCTGGGCGGGGCGCGAGAATGTTTTGGACAGAGGTAAGGACCTCTTCAATTAGGTGCCGCTCGGGGGACTCGTTTGGTAGTTGGTGCAGTTCGTAGCGGGTCTGTGTATCCCACGCCCAGCCGGGATCCCTCCCTGCGCCCTGCTCATAGTAACCTTGCAGGTGTAGGTCATGTTGCTCGGTCACCGAGAGCAGGGCACTGTAATGGGCTGCCGTCGGTAGGAACCCCGCCTCGAAGTGGTTGGGGCGCCAAGGCGTCGTCTCCACAGGTGCCCCACCGCCGCAGTATGCCCACATCTGTATGATGGGGAGTTTGGATGCATAGCCCCCTTCCCGGACAAAGAGAGGTGGGATGTAGCCGCTCTCAAGCTCCCGGTGGGGGATCATTTTGTGTCCCGGGTTGAAAAGTAGGATCGGGCATTGTAGCACCGAGGCCGCGATTGCACTCGCCAGTCCGCTCAAGGAGCTTGCTGGTTTCGTCAGGGGGGTAAACACTGACGCGCCGTAGTCAGTGCTCGCCACCCCTGGGCCTGACTCTGCCTGATGATAGCGGGCAGAGTTGACCAGGAAGTGGAGCAGACACCGCAGACGCAACGCCACCCAGCCACTCTCTTCGCTGCCCAGCACCGAGATCAGCAGTGAGCGCAAGTGGCAGTTACCATCCCCCTCGGTGTGCTTCAGCTCGAGGCTGGGGATGGGGTGTAGCCAACTAAGGTACGTACTGCCATATGCGTCAAACCCAGCACTGTTAGGGAGGCCGGCTACGTCCCCAGCTAGCAGGCCCTGTATGCCATCTACAGGGGGCAGAATCCGCTCGACGCAGGAGGCTAGGATCCTCATGGCCAGGTGGTTCCATTTGTGCCCCGGGCGCTCCTGTGGCAGCTCTGGGTCGCAGGGCATGCGTTCCAGTTGTGCTGCTGCATATCGTATGCGCCCCATTATGGCTGTGGCTGCCGCGTCGCTCACCCCCAGCCAGCTCTCTACTCGTTGTTGTTGCCGGGGCGGTGGCCCTGGGTTCTCCTCCACATCCCCACTTAGCAGGAGCTTCATGCGCTTTACAAGGGCGGTGGTAGAACACGAGCATGGGAGGCGCAACGTGCTAGCGCCGGCGATGGGGGTCGCCTGACGGCGCGCGTGGTGGCGTCGCATGGGACACCTACAGCTAGGGGTGCGTGCTGCCACGCCCGCCTGGGGGCTGGGAAGGCACTCGACCTTGACAAAGGGCACGGTGGACAGCAGGGCGGGGTCCTTGATGTACACCACGGCGCGGGTGCCGGCCATGGAGGGGTTGCCGGCGATGCCATGCACCTCCACCGAGAGCTGCTCGGCGAGCGCCTCTGGGGCCGTCCCCAGCTTGTTGGCCAGACGGCCAAGGAACTGTAGGGAGGCAGGGGGCGAGTGCGCGGGCAAGGGCGGGGGCAGGGTGTGATGAGTGACGTGGGGCTGGGTGAGGGTTTGCATGTGGTGGGAATCAGNGGTGCTGATCGGCTGCAGGGGCGGCTGGCAGCGTTTCCTGGCGGGGGATCCTCAG